GTGGGCTGGTGGGACCTTTTTCTTTTCTTTTTTTCCCTTTTTTTTTGTTGCTTTGCTTAGTTTTTTTATTTGTTTAATTACATTAACCATTTGATGGATTTATTTTATTTTATTTTTTTAACAGGTTCTTTATTAAAAATACAAGCCGGGAACCAGGCCCGGCGTCCCTTAACAATGTTGTTGTGCTCCCCCAGTGGGACGGCATCACCAGCCGAACCCAGAGGGGAAGTCACAATGACCTCAGGGAAAGGCAAATATTGCAAAATATCCCCAGCACATTCTACTACACTATGCACCATAGTTGCGGTGCGCCGGTTTGCGCACGAGTTGCACACGTAGCGCCGCACACCGCACAGCGCACCGTGGCGCCCCGCACAGCAAAAAATAGGGGTAGGGGAATTTTTATTTTTTTGGGTGGGGGTTCGTTCGGAGGGCGGGCCCCCACCCCGGCAAAAATGACAGCAGGGGCGTGCGACTCGGGAAACCGGCTGCGACCCGGCTCCGAAATTGTTTTTGGGGGAAGGGCCTGCCGAATTTGAAATTTAGAATTCGGCAGGCCCTTCCCCAACAAAAGTTGGGGGCAGCCGTTTTCCCGGAGTCGCGCCGCCTCGCACGCCCCCTCGCCATTCGAATCTTGATGTCATGAAGGAGGGAGGGAGAGACGCTACGAGGGACGACCAAGAAGTGAGCAACGAACGCGGGGAGCAGCGGGGGAAGGGCGACAAAGGTGGGAGAAGCGGGAGACCAACGAAGGAGGGAGGGAGGGACGAGGCGGGACACCATCGGCGTAGGGCAGCCGCAGGACACCATCGGCTCGAAGCAGCGGGAGACCGGCGGGCAGCCATGGAGGTGGGCGCCCACCACCTCTCTCTCTCTCTCTCTCACACACACACACACACACACACACACACACACACACACAACAAACAAGTTTGGTGGTGTATATTTCCATGTTATAGCCATAAATTCGTCTGATTTTGCTCATCCTATCCATAAAAGTAGCATCAGGCCAGCCGCGGTGTTGGGACTTACCTATTGGCTGGTGCGTTCCTCATCCTATCGATGGAAAACTCTCTCTCTCTCTCTCTCTCTCTCTCTCTCTCTCTCTCTCTCTCTCTCTCTCTCTCTCTCTCTCTCTCTCTCTC